TTAAATAAAAAAAATAAAAGAAGAAATATATATTAATAATTTAATAAATTTTATTATTTTTTTTATATTTTTCTCGTTTAGAATAAATTACTATAATTATTTTAAAATAGGAAAATGAATAAATTATTTTAAAACCAATTTATCATTATCATCATCATCATTATTATTATCATTATCATCATGCCAGAAGCGCTAAAGATCTAAAACAGAATTATTTATGATAATGTTGAGGATGTTGGAAATGCTATGATAAATTATGGAAATATTTATTTTAAAATTAGCATTATCATTATCTCCTCCTCTCTCTCGCTCCTCCTCATCATCATCATAAAATTGATGATGATGATGATAATGATGATGAGGAGGAGGAGCGAGAGAGGTGGAGATGATGATGATGTTGATGATTATAAAAGGATGAAGTGAAAGATTTAATTTCAATTTAAAAATTTTCAATTTTTGCCATATATTTTGCAAAAATTACAAAAACTTTTTAATTTTTTTTTTTAAAGTTGCGAAATGTAAAAAGTTGCAAACATGCAAACATTTATAAAAGAATTCTAGAATAATTTTAGAAAATTTAAATTTTTTCTCTCTCGCTCCTCCTCCTCGTCATCATCAATGATGACGAGTAGGAGGAGCGATAGAAAAGAAAAAGGAGGATGTTCAAATGTGTTTATAGATTGAACTTCCTCCTCCACTGTGTTCCGGGATATGATATTGATAAATTGGCTTTAAAACAGATTACTAATTTAAATTTTTATTTAAAAAAAACAGTTGTAGTATTTTATCCTCGACGAAAAATATTAAATAATAATAATTATAAAATATATATTATTTAAAAAATATTTTTCAGTCTGGCTTAATTGCGGCAATTCCGTACATGGTCATATCCATTACAGTTGCATGTGGAGGACAAATAGCGGATTATATATGCAAGAGAGGATTACTCAACACTACAAATGTTAGAAAGTTATTTACTTGTTCAGGTATAGACCGATAAACGCCTCCTTTCAATCTCAATTTTGACATTTATTTCTTCTTTCTAAATTTATAATCCACGTTATTATTGCGTGAAATTTATATTAATGTTTGTATGATAAGAATTTTATCATGCTTTCCAGCATTTTTGTCTCAGGCAATCTTCATGACTGCTGCTGCATCTACTAACGAATCAACAGCAGCTATCATATTTATTATATGTGCTGTTGGTTTGGGTGGTTTTGCAAGTTCCGGTTACTCAGTCAACCATTTGGATATTGCACCACAGGTAAAATATAATTATAATTGTGTTATTAAGCTTTGTTTTTAAGAATTTGCAAGTTTCAGTACTTCGAAACGTGATAGCAAAGCTTTGCCTTAGAGTAAAACATTTTTTTAAAAATCCTGGAATTTTTGCAAAGTTTTATTTACATACTTTTATTAAAATTAATTTTTTATTAATTTTTTAAAAAAATTTAATCNGAATTTTTCGATGATTTAACAGTCGATTTTTTTAATGAAAATATTCAAAAAAAAAATCTCCTGGAAATTTTTATTTATATTTAAGTAAACTTAAGTTGACGTCGTCTAATCGATTAAAGGTCATTGATGTATCAAATATAAATTGATCGAGGTTGTTGCTTAGTCGTGTTGCATGCAAGAAAGAATTGTAAGAGAAAAGATTGATGCTATCATTTATATCGACGATGGGTGTCGTAATTTAGGCATTAATTATTAAACAATTCATTAAAATAAATGTAACTTTAATGAAAATTCTAATTAGCGAACTCTCTTCTTTAGCATAAAAAATCGTCTTTCGACTAAAGTTTTGACTTAAAATGCATTTAAATAATTTCCCTCGACTAGAAATTGTGTTTTTTCTCAGTACTAATTTAAGAAAAATGCAACGAAAACTTGACTTATTTCTTCACTCTAATGAAATGTTTATATTGTTAATTTTATATTTACTGTATATATAATTTAATATCCGGGTCAGTAGGTCAAAAAGTCAAATTATTATAATATATTCTAAGCAATAAAATAATAATAATTTTTTTATGTGATGAAATAGTAAAATATGGCTGATATTTATTTTTAAGAATTTTTATTTTAATATTAAATTTTATTCATTTTTTTTTCTAATTTATACTAAATGAATAATTTCAATTCGTATTATCTATACTAATATTATAAAGAGGTAACGTTTGTATGTATGTATGTATGTATGTAAGTTTATTTGCAGCAGGTAATTTCTGAAACTACTCATCCGATTTCAAAAATTCTTTCACCAATATTTAGAATGGAACATCAGGATGTATATTATTCCGTTAAACATTCCTATAAATTAAATGATATCATCTATGATTAAGGCTTTTATGTCCAACAGATGGCGCTACGAATACGACGCCCTAAGTTTGCTTTTCTGTGAAAATGAACTAAAATAGATAATCTTCTATTTATCTATATAAATAAAAATGTAATGTTCGTTTGTTCCTACCGATTCCTTTGAAATTTTGACACAACGCTGCATTCGAATACGCACGTGTTTTTATATAATATACGTGTCGAAATTCTCCCCACTGAAGGGAGATGGTTACGATTAAGGCTTACGGTAAAGAACTCTGCTTCTATTTATACTATTTTAGATGCGGGTTTTTGCGTTTTTGATTGCGTTTTAATAGGATACGTCAACAGAATGTACACTAAGAAG